ATCTTTGACAAGTAGAACCTGCCCTCTGGCCACTTCAACACTCAAACTTTTCATCACTCTCCTTTCTCCCCCAAGCCAGAGAAAAAGCACAGTTTCTCACAGGTTTGCCAATCTTTCATTTTTCAAACGCTGTCAACATCATTTTACAAAACAAAGGACATCTTTTCCCTGATTAACAAAGAAGCACATACTGCAGAATAAGCAAGTTTGCCCCAAAACAACACATTTAGTGACTTCCATGGACCACCCTCCTTCTCTAGCCAAGAGCAACCCCAGTGTCCACCAGCAGATGGACAGATAAAGAAAGTGTGGTCAGTACATACAGGAGCCTTGAAAGGAGGAAAACACGTCACATGCTACAGTGTGGATCAACCTCTAGGACATTATGTTAAGAGAATTAAGCAAGTCACAAAAGGACAAATACTGTGTGATTCCTCTCACACAAAGTATCTAAAGTAGTCAACGTCATAGAAACAGGACATAAAAAGCTAGTTGTCCAGGCCTGGGGGAGGAGGTGGGAGAATTAGTGTCTAATCTGTGTAATCCAGGGTTGAGAAAAGAAAACTTTCCTAGAGATCTGTGACACAGCAATGCAACTATAGTTAGTGCTACAGACCTGTACACTTAAAAGTAGCAAAGATGGCTTAAGAAAGGAAGAATCATAGGCACACATTTCCATGACATAGGATTGTCAACAGATTTTTAGATATGACACCAAACACCAAAGCAACAAAAGAAAAAAATAAATTCAGCTTCAGCAAAAGTAAAGACTTTTTTCTTTCAAAAGATACTATCAAGAAAGTAATAGACAACCCACAAAATGGGAGAATTTTGTGGAAATCTTATCTCTGGGAAGACATTTTTACCTAGAACACATAAAGAACTTTTACAGCTCAATAATGAAAGACAAACCAACTAAAAGTTGGCAAAAGATGAATACACATTGCTCCAAAGAAGACATACACGTGAAAAGGTGCTCAACATCAGGGAAACGCAATCTCCACCCCCAGTGAGATGCCATTGTAGAACCACGAGGGTGGTGCTCCTGTCACTGGGATTTTCCCAGGATGCCAGGGCTTCTTCAAGGGGACTTATTCTTAGTGGAGGAGGAAGTCTCTGGAGCCAGACACATGTGGTGCCCCCAGGCTGTCCCAGTTCCTGGAGTGTGACCTACAATCGATCCCCTGACATCCCTGAGCCCACTTTCCTCACATAAAAACAGGTGAAATGTGACTCATTCCCAGGCTCTGTGTGGACACCCAGTGAGCTACAAGGAGGTGGAGCAGCAGAGAGTGCCGAGCACACAGGGAGCCCCTTCTCTGCATGAGCTTCCTGACTTCCATGGAGGAGTGGTGGGATGGCATCACAGTCACTAGTAATGCCGTCCTGCTTCCTACCTCATGAGCTGCCCTGCAAAGTGTCACGTCAAGTCTGTTTTTCTGTAATGAAGACGGTTGGCTGCAATGAAAATATGAAACACTTGTTCCCTTTTTTTCCCATTGCACCTACCCGAGTATTTTCCAAGGACGAATGTGCAAGTCTCTGCAAGATTCCACGTCGCCCGTGGAGTTGGACTCACCTTCGGTTGAAGCAGCAATGGGCTTCCAGTTGGCCCCACTGTGCAGGTTCCAAGGAAATTTCATGGCTCGGAGGTGGGGGCAGCCCAGGTTCTGCCTCCCCCTGGGAACTGTTCATCCAAACAAGGACTCAGAAGGCAGGAACGGCCAGGCGAGTGAGAACAGGCCCAGAGGCACCCAGGGGCCAGGTGTGAACCTGATGGTGGTGACTGAGGACCCAGCGCATACAGGGGCGGAGCAAGTAAGTTCCCTTCAAACACGACTCCCTCAGTGTTCCTAACAACCCTGGGAGGGGAATGTGTTACCCTCTTTCACCATGAAGACTGAAAAGCAGAGAAGTCACAGGACTAATTCACACCAGTAANCCAAGAGCCTGAAAGCCGAGAAGTCACAGGACTAATTTCCACCAGTGAACAAGCATCCAATCTGTCGGTCACCCACCACATTTGCATCCAGTCCCTGCCACCCTGGGTAGTGACATATCCAGTGGGCACGTGGGAGGTTGCTTACCCATGAGGGGTGGCAGCTTCTGGGCCAGCCCCACAGCACTCACTGAGTCTGGCACAACCTCTGAGGCCATTTCTCTGTGTTGAGGCCCAGCTGCACAGGGAGGGGGCAGCAGGGGGGAAGCGTGGCCAAGGTGAGAAGTCTCCTTCACAAAGTGCCCAGGGGGACTGGGAGACATGGGTGCTGCCTGCTGCAGGAGGGGAGGGAAGACAGCAAAAGGGCACCTATGGGCTGACCTTGGATTTTGTGAAATGGGGTGAGGGCCTTGACATGAGTCTATTCTCCCCCAAACTCTTCGTAGGAGTCCAGGCCTCCTTCGGAACTACAAGGCTTTAGCCCCATCTCATTGCTCCTGCTGGACCACTGCCCTGGGCCATAGCTTTATATGCTGGCTGGAGCAGGGACCATGCTCATGGAGCCCCAGCTGTCCCAACCCAACCAGAGCCCAGGCAAGGAGACAGAACTTAGACATCGGGAAGAGGCCCTGGCCAGGAGGCAAGGGGGTGAGGGCCAGGGCGTGGCTCTGTGGGAGCAGAGCTGGGACAAGGCAGTTTTGCAGACAGGGGTCCCCTTCCTGGCTCAGCTCCTGTCCCTCAATGTTTGCTCATCTCACACTTACATCTGGGGTTCAGGACCCCTGCTTTGACTGTGGGGTCTGTACCGGTGCCCACAGCAGGGTGACCCGAGACCCCTCCCTCAGCCTGGACCTCCAGCTCCCACCTGCCCCGGGCCCACACACACCTGGGCCCTTACTGCCCCTGCTGGTTGTGTTGGTGAAACTGGGCCACAGTGTGTTAGGAGCTGTTTCCAAGGCGGATGCCAACCTGCGCAGCATCTATTCCCTCAAGGGTCCAGCCATGTGTGGGAGGGAAGATACAGTAGTTGTGGGGTGTCCTTGAAGACCCGTGTCCCTGAGCCCAGTCCCCCAGCCACAGCAGATGGGTCTTCCTCCCTCAGTTGGACAAGATTGCCCCCCACAGAAATCCCACAAGGGACTTGGTATCCTCCCCACTCACTGTCACTTCCTGTGTACCCACCTTTAACAGGCTTGTCACCATTATGTCTTGTCACCCCCTGGTTCCAGCCTCACCCCTCCACCCCCTCCACTTCCATNTGGGAAGAGGCCCTGGCCAGGAAGCAATGGGCTGAAGGCCAGGGCGTGGCTCTGTGGGAGCAGAGCTGGGACAAGGCAGTTTTGCAGACAGGGGTCCCCTTCCTGGCTCAGCTCCTGTCCCTCAATGTTTGCTCATCTCACACTTACATCTGGGGTTCAGGACCCCTGCTTTGACTGTGGGGTCTGTACCAGTGCCCACAGCAGGGTGACCCGAGACCCCTCCCTCAGCCTGGACCTCCAGCTCCCACCTGCCCCGGGCCCACACACACCTGGGCCCTTACTGCCCCTGCTGGTTGTGTTGGTGAAACTGGGCCACAGTGTGTTAGGAGCTGTTTCCAAGGCGGATGCCAACCTGCGCAGCATCTATTCCCTCAAGGGTCCAGCCATGGTTGGGAGGGAAGATACAGTAGTTGTGGGGTGTCCTTGAAGACTGTGGTCCCTGAGCCCAGTCCCCCAGCCACAGCAGATGGGTCTTCCTCCCTCAGTTGGACAAGATTCCCCCCCACAGAAATCCCACAAGGGACTTGGTATCCTCCCCACCAACTGTCACTTCCTGTGTACCCACCTTTAACAGGCTTGTCACCATTATGTCTTGTCACCCCCTGGTTCCAGCCTCACCCCTCCACCCCCTCCACTTCCATCATCCCACTGAGACTAGAGGATGCTTCTCCTGCCAGGAGGCCCCGAGGCAGAGAGCCTGTCCCCTGAGGCCAAGCCTTTTCCTCTGGGCTCAGGCCACAGTCTGGCCTTGGGAGCAAAATTGATGGGAGGGGTCCTTGGGTATTAGAGAGCTGTGTGCTCCCAGGAGCAGTCTGAAGGAGTCCCTGTCAATCTGCAAGGAGGGACTGAAGGGTCACCTGTGGATCCATAGCACCCATGACCTCCCACATCCTCCTTCCTTCCTCTCAGGTNTGGGCCCACACACACCTGGGCCCCTACTGCCCCTGCTGGTTGTGCTGGTGAAACTGGGCCACAGTGTGTTAGGAGCTGTTTCCAAGGCGGNCTCTAGGGAGCAGCACAGATCTGAGTAAGGAGAGAGCGGCCCCAGAGCATTTTCACACAAAACCATCTTTATTCAGAATAGACACACAATGTCCCAAAGGTGCTGCTCCTACCCCCACCCCCNAGACTGTGGTCCCTGAGCCCAATCCCCCAGCCACAGCAGATGGGTCTTCCTCCCTCAGTTGGACAAGATTGCCCCCCACAGAAATCCCACAAGGGACTTGGTATCCTCCCCACTCACTGTCACTTCCTGTGTACCCACCTTTAACAGGCTTGTCACCATTATGTCTTGTCACCCCCTGGTTCCAGCCTCACCCCTCCACCCCCTCCACTTCCATCATCCCACTGAGACTAGAGGATGCTTCTCCTGCCAGGAGGCCCCAAGGCAGAGAGCCTGTCCCCTGAGGCCCTTTTCTTCTGGGCTCAGGCCACAGTCTGGCCTTGGGAGCAGAAGTGATGGGAGGGGTCCCTGGGGATTAGAGAGCTGTGTGCTCCCAGGAGCAGCCTGAAGGAGTCCCTGTCAATCTGCAAGGAGGGACTGAAGGGTCACCTGTGGATCCATAGCACCCATGACCTCCCACATCCTCCTTCCTTCCTCTCAGGTGCCCTCTCTAGGGAGCAGCGCAGATCTGAGTAAGGAGAGAGCGGCCCCAGAGCATTTTCACACAAAACCATCTTTATTCAGAATAGACACACAATGTCCCAAAGGTGCTGCTCCTACCCCCACCCCC